ATGCATATGGATATATTTAAAGAACGGTGTATGTATAAGTATATATTGTATTTGTCCTTTAATATGCAATTTGAATATTTTGTTTCATAATTGCAATAAAGAATATACTATGTTCTCTATGGACTTCAATACTTTAGATTAGCTCAGCGGGTGATCCTGTGAAGTTTGGTAGTGATCGGAAGTTTGAACGCGGGCGAAGCCGTAGGTACTGCTAGTACAATATACAGGCAGCACTACCGTTTGGAAATTTTTTTTCTAACTGTAGTCTACGTGCTATTCTAGATCATAATTTATTTCTGTACTAAATTTCATCCAAATCTAAGGAAAAACAAACATACATACCTATAGAAACTTTCATATTAAAATAGTGATGTGATCGAAATTGGGTCAAATATCATGAGTTTCTGAAAATAGATAAAGTATACCTACCGACAAGCAACGGCTTTTAACAGCAGGTTTAAACAGCACGTTGTGAATTCTTTTGTGTTTTTTGGAGTATATGTTACGAAATTTTTGATAATCTATCTATGCATATAATAAAATTGTAACTGAGTCGAATCTCTACATTATTTCTTTTTATTATTATCGAAACAAAGGCCGAATCTATAGTTTTTAGAATATGTGTCTGGCCGTCATCACGAGAAAACCACTGGACAGATTTTGATCGAATTTGGTATGATGATAACTGGTTATCCGGGTCAACATACCTATAGATTTTTTTTACTGCGGAAAAATTTCTTATCTCTGAGAAATCTATATTAAACGTTATATAAATAAATATTGTGTTTTTGTAATAAATAGATAAATTGCAAACGACCATGTTTCAAAATAAATACAGTTTTCCGACAAATAACGAAAGCATGTATTCAATAAACCAAGTAAGGTTAAAATGAAAATAAATAACAAAAATATTTCAGTTATCTAAAAGCTATTCAATAAGATGTCTTATTCCATTTCCAACATTACCAGTTTCGTCACACTTTCGGAGTCAATAGTGACAATTGTGGATGTGAGAATCCAGTCACGTCGCACGGGAATGGAACCGGCGACCCGACGCAGATTTATTTTACATTTTGTCGTGTCACATGATAGATTGAATATAGAAAATGCGGTTAGAGGGATTTTTATTTTCCGCGAAAGTTTTGTTATGATAAAATATTGACATTTTCGCTACGTCTTCGCTTCGTCTCTAGCTTACTCGTAGTTCAAGCCTCAAAGACCGAGTGACTTTTAGTTTTAGTTTACTTATTACTTACTATAGTAAATATTATAATATCATTATAATTAAACATTTGGTAAAAAATAATGCTTTTATATAAATTATTAAATAACGCTCAAAAATATTGTAAAAATATTTTTAAGACAACTCAAAACGGAATAAATAAATGAGACATTCAAGAAATAAATAATATATAATATAATAAATAAATAATTATTAAAATGTCCGTTTGTAATGTCGAAAGTTTTAGTATATAGGTTTTACAATGTACTTGTTCAATGGAAACATTCTTTTATTTGAATAAAATTTGGTATTCCTATATTTAAGGTACTTTTCTTCCATGTTTCATCCATTTGTTCCATCCTGTATAGTGTTGCATATACAAAAGAAACAAACGTTTCGCAATATTTAAGTCGGTCAAAAAGATATGATCTGAAAATATATTTTCTACTAGCGACTCGCCCTCGTTTCGCTCAGGTTCATCCCAAGGTACATTTTAATTTTTTTGAGCGGAACCCTAATTCTTTTACTGAAATAAAAGTAGCCTAAGTTACTCCTTATAATATCAACTACCTGCCAGTGAAAGTCCTGTCATAATCGGCCCAGCCGTTTCGGACAGACAGACATACAGACAAAAATTTTAAAAATTGTATTTTCCTTATAAATACCGTATACAATTCCATATGCATCAAGTAAAAAGCTGTTATTTTGACATTACAAACAGACACTTCAATTTTATTTATCCGTATGGATAACACATTCGATATCATATTCATAAATTAAAAGCTAACGAAATGCATGTATTGTAAAGCATGCCGTATGAACAGTCGCTATACCTAACCGCATTAGATAATTTCTCTTGGGATGTAACTATTCAAACAGGGCTGTACATTTCTGAATAGATAATGCGCACACCTAATTACTTTTTAAAATGCTTATTTAAATTTAAAATTACGTATTTCTCTATAGGGACTAAGTTTAACTAAAATTAAAGAGGATGTGTGAAATTGATGTGGTTTAACTTGCATACATGCCTTATAAGTTCATTGTTATTTAGTAAAAACGTAAATTTTTGGGCGTGGGCAAAGCCGCGATAAAACGGAACGGTAGTGATAAATAAAATTGTAATATTATCTGTTTATTTATAAAGTTTAAAGTTAATACTACAATTTGAAGAAGGTAATTTAAAGTTGATTCTCAAATCTATCTATACATAAAATAAAATTGTAAGAAATTGTAAGTAAAAGCCAAATCTGTACATTAAATATTTTTGGGAAAATCTTATTGAAATAAACATTATTATCGATACACAGGCCGAATCTATAGTTTTTAGAATTTTTGTCTGTCTGTCTGTTACCGCATCACAGAAACACCACTGGAGGGATTTTGATGACATTTGGTATGGTGATAGCTGGTTATCCGGGTCAATATATAAGATACTTTTTATCGCGGGAAAATATCTCATTTCTGAGAAAAAAATACAAAAACTGCAATGTAAGAGTAGGTATACTAATATGTAAAACCTAAGAATTTGGTTTTTGGTCACCTGAACGCGGGCGAAGCCGCGAGCAATGCTAGTCTTAAATATATATGTACTATGTGTTAACTAGTGAAGCTAATAAAAAATGTCAGTCTCCAAAACTACATCGTAACGTTATCGGCGTTTGGTGAAAGAAAAAATATTGCATAAATGAGTAATTTTATTAGTATGGTGGAATATTTTCATCAATAATCAATATATATTAATGCTAGCGACTTCTTTCCGCTTCGTTCGGCTAGTGATGTTTTTTTGTTTTATCATAATGTAAATACACGTAGCGCCACAGCAACGGACACCCGTCTGTGCAGAGAGAGAAGAATCAGTTGCCCACGTAATCCTGGAATGCGTAGCGGTAGGTTCTCAACGTGAAGAAATCCTCGGACCAGTGAGGTCGCTCCGCGAAGACTGTGAAGTTCCCAGGAAACTTCTGCGCTTCTGGGCGGAGCTCGGCTGGCTAATATAGCCAGGATTCGCACGCACAACGGACCAGAAGAGAGTCTAAGTGCGGAAAACGAGTCCACTTTACATTACATTACATTACGTAGCGCCACATGTTGGTAAATTTTATTACTGACAGTACCTTATGTTTAATTCCAGGTCATAACCTATCGAAATATTAAATTTCACCCAAATCAGTCCAGCCGTTTCAGGATTAAATAGTAACAAACATAAATACAAACAAAAACATTCGCATTTATAGTAAGTGTGATTTCTTTGTTTGTCCGTTCGCAAACCGTCAACCCTACACAATCCTAACATTCGGACTTCATACAGGTTATGCAAGTAGCATCTTCATATCTGGGTCGCATCCCTAGGTAACATCTGTAATCGATATGAGAGCGATACAATGTGTTTATCGAGATAGAGTGTTTCAAAATGTATGTCTTTATTCCCTCCACGACCGCGAACACGCTGGCGTGTCAGTTAACAATAGATTTCTTAGAATTTTAATTAATTTCTTAGAAATTTACCTGGAGGTGTTGTTAATTATTCAAATACTTTAAATATTAATTTTTGTTCATTGCCACCGATATTGGGTGAGACTTTTACTTAGCTTTTCTTTAGACTTTGTGTCATCTAAGAGTCAAGTATTCGCATACGTATAAATAAATAAATATGTTGGGACATTAACACACAGCACCATCTAGTTCCATGGTAAGCTACGAGGCCTGTGTTATGGATACCAGGTAGTAGATACAATACACATATATAATTTTTAAATAAATACATATTATAAATATAAACACCCATGACTGGAGTACAAACATTCGTGCTCATCACACAAATGAAAGCCCCCAGCGGGATTCGAACCCGCGACCGCTGGCACAGCAAGTAACACTTGAACACTACAAACTGAGCCAAACGTATGTTTATAAATAATCGTATATAATTTATCACAATGAGATGTATGGATTAGGAATGCATACATACATACAATATAGACGTGCTTTTTTATATTTTGTTTATATATACAATTTTTAAGTGAATCTTTTTCAGTCAATTTAATTTAAAAATTTAAATATTTGCGGTTAAAAATTCGATCAAATGATCCGATAATATTCCACATTCAATTTGTAGGTTTTTGTTGTAAGATTACAATTCGTAGCAATTTATCTTGTATTTTATAATCACCTATTATACAATTTTAGCTGTATAAAGTAATCTCATGATATTATTTTTAAGTTTTAAATTAATTCCTTGATAAATAACGAACAGCTTAAACCATTGGAGCCAAAAGCATGTACTTTTGCACGTACTTCGAATTACTATTATAAATGTGAAAGTTTGTATATGTGTGTATGTTTGTTGCCCTTTCACGCTGAAGCAGATGGACGAATTTGGATGAAAACAAAGATAGAATATGACCTGAAGTAGCACATAGGCTACTGTTAGGCACTTAGGAATGCATCTGACCGAAGCGTGGGCAAGTCGCTAAAAAAAGTTTAAAGAATTTAAAAAAATACGCACAGATGACCTTTGTAATAATATGTTTATCTAAAGGCATACGTATAATATATAAGATAAACCTCTACTAGTGCAAAGAAAAATGAACGTTCCAACTAATCACTGAACGTGTAAATTTGATTATTATCTGTCTCTTTTTAAATATGCATAGTGTGAAAGAGACACAAAAGCGTTTATAATAACTCGTTCTGGGAGGAATCACATAATTTTGTTTAATATTTTGGAAAACACAATGAATCAGTAATTCGTAAAGCACTACGGGTGCTGCACGTCATTATGAAGGGATTAATATTTTTTTTATATATTGTGACGTGTTACGGTGATAATATTTTTAGTGCAAGAGTTAAGGACAGTAATGATAACTTTAGTCCAAGAGCTAGGAATTTTAGCATAGAAATATTGCATAATACGCAATCTGAAACTGATGGGCACGTTGTAATTTCACCTTTTGGTATATGGACTTTGCTTACCGGCCTCGCATTAGGTGCTAACGGTAAAAGCCAATCTCAACTGACTCGGGCGTTAGTTTTGCCTAGAAATAAGAACAAAATACTAAAAGGTTATAAAAACCTAACAAAAAGTGTATTAGAGCCAAGGACGCAAAAAGTGAAACTTGAAAACAAAAATTTTGTCTTTCTTGACAAAGATTTTGATATCTCTAGAGACTTCGAAAATACATTAAAATCGGACTTTGGTGCGGAAGTAAGGAATTTAGACTTCAAGAATTCAACCGCGGCGGCCCAAGTTGCCAATGGCTTCATAAAAGAATCAGGTGTAACTATGTCTGATGTGTTGCGAGCAGAAGACTTCAATGTAAAGGGGATGTTATTGACAAATGTTATATCTTTTGAGGCACCCTGGTCTTTTCCTTTTAATACGTCCGATACAAAACCAGAGGATTTTTACAATGAACATGGAGAGAAAATAGGAAAAGTGAATATGATGTATCAATTAGGCGAATTTTCTGTCACAGACGTACCGTCCCTACAAGCTTATGCTCTTGAAATGCCATACGGTTCTGAAGGGGACGACAAATTCTCTATGTTAATTATACTGCCACATCCAAAAATAAATGTTAATGAAGTATATAAGAGATTTACAACAGCAACATTGGGAGATATATGTGAAAAACTCCAAAAAGATATCGCTGAATTTGGAATAAATGAGCTCTATGTAAAACTACCGCGTTTCAAAATAAGCACTAACATAATTTTGAACGGACCGTTGAATAGAATGGGTGTCTTTGATATTTTTAACCCATATGAGGCAAATTTCAATAAAATTACCAAAGAAAACATTTATATATCATCCATTGTCCATAAGGCAGATATAGAAGTAACTGAGTATGGCACTAAGGCCACTGCGCATTCAGTAGCAGTTTTAAACACTAAAATATTTCCCAAAGAACTGATTTTCGACCGTCCTTTCATATATTTTGTTTTGGAGAAACCCACAACGACTGTGATATTTAATGGAATTTATTCTAAGCCAAGCCAGTTTTAAGATTAAGTTTAAAAATTCCTTTTTATTTTTAAATATGAAGCAATAAATTAGTCAAGTATTTAAATATTTAATACTAATGCAGAATGTTTTTGTATACTAAACTCCATATAAATTAAATATGTTTTGACGAAAATAAATATAAACATTAACTGTAGATACTCAAGAATGTTATTGTAAATTTCAATGTATCGAAATGTTAATGAATTTTAAAATAGATGGAATTCATATGAGTTGTTGAATTTTTCTTTAAAAATACGTAAAATATGTAAAAAAAGTAGGCACGTTTTAACGGTTAGTATGGAATAGATAGACTATAATATATTATATGATATAGTCTTCCTCAATAAACGGGCGATCTAATGCAAAAAAATCTTTTTTAAATTGGATTAGTAGTTCCTGAGATTATAGCGTTCAAACCAACAAACAAACAAAGAAACACTGCCTCTTTACAATATTAGTATAGATTTGTATGTAAAATTTGCTAAATAATCCAATTGTATACCGAGCTGTAAATAAACTAAATTAGTACGATGTTAATTGTGTTGTGATAAAAAAATACGTCTTAACAAAAAGGCTGACACTGATATTAAATGTAATTATTCCACCAAAACGTATGTACATCACTTCTTGTACTTAGTCAATAAAAAGTACACGATTATTTTCGCAATAGACTAAGGAAAATTGCATGGAATATAATAAACTAATGAATCTACATATATACGAGTATGTAGGCATATAGGCAAAGACAAAACAGTTCAATATTTTACTCTCCTCTGTTTGTCAACCGATTTTCTTTTTTGATGTGAAACATCTAATGCGGCGGGTTACACCGGCTGTTAGCGTGACGACGTGGCGATCATAACTCTCTTCCTACTCGTCTCAGCAATTTCCTTTTCCCTCTCCCTCACCACGTTGAGCTCGTATTTTAATTTCGGTATTGAATTAAGATGTAATTTTTAAATAAAAGTTTTTGCTTTTAAAATAATCTGAATATTTTGTTTTTAACTATGTCATATTTACTGCCTTTAAAAACCATCCTTTCATACATATTTCCTATACAAAAATAGTTTCGATGTTTTACATCTGCCAGGCATCTCGTGACAGCTTTAATTGTTTTTGTTAGGTAGCTATCACTTTAGTGTTATTAATAAAACAAAATTGGAAACAGTTATTTTTTTCATATAGATAGGTAAATTCTATTCATTCATAGGTAAATTTTCCTCCAATAATGAATATGGTCGAATTTGACCACTGGTAGAGCACTAGATCTTATAAAGACTTTTTACAAAAATCTGATGTCATAAGTCCCGTCTAATATAACCTATAATGTAAAATTATAATCTTTTAAATAATCTTAAAGTACAATAGAAGGAAAAATCAACACGTTTGCTATAAGGAAAATATAACAAAATAAATAAATTATGTTTTTAAAAGCAAGTGGCATTTACGGTCAAGTTATTTTATTACATTCTAAGCTAGAAAAAAAATAGAACAATATAAAATATATATAAATACCTAGACTAAACAGTTTTTAAATATTTTAGTCCGATTATAAAAAAGAGGTTCTCGATATGTATGTTTGTTGAAGTTGTACGCAGTGGTAGCCCAGTGGTGAAGCGCTCGCTTGGGCAACTAAGTGAAGCGGGTTCAAACCCCGTTTTTCACCGCTGATATTTTTATGTGCGAATTATTTCCAACATGATTATCAATGTCTTATGGTGAAGGTAAAGGTGAAGGTCATGAGGAAACCTGCACGTCTGAGAGAACTTAACAAGTTTTAGAAGTCCACACACTCGCACATGGCCAGCGTTGCCCACACTGGCCAGGCGAACCTCCCTTTACTACAGGTGGAATCAGGGCATTGTCAAAATCAAATTACTATTATAAAAGTTTTTTGCTTATGTGTTTGTACGTCAACTATTTCTTGCTGAAATTGGTGTACCGATTAAATTATATTTTATTTACCTAGCATAGTGTGTGTGCATGGAGTGATAAAGTGGCAAAAGGTGGCACTACATGTATCTATACAAATAAATAAAATTTAAGTGTCTGTTTGTAATGACAAAATAACAGATTTTTACTATATTTATAAGATTTACGGATATAAGAAAAATAACCATTTTTAAAAAAATTGTCCGTCTGTTTGTTCCGTCTAATCTCCGAAACGGCTGGACTGACTTTGAAGGGACTTTCACTGGCAGATAGCTCATGTTATAAGAGTTACTTATTCTACTTTTATCTTAGATAAAGAATTAGAGTTCCGCGCAAAAAAGAGCGAAGCAAGTTGAAGTCGCAAGTTTTAAATATAAAAGGCACTTAGGGACGTGTTCGAACGAAGCGAAGGTCGTTAATATTAAATTTATGTCGTCAAATCTGAGTTCATTAGTCTTCAGGTAGTAAAATATATAATAATCGAGAAATATATCGATGAGTATATGTAATAGATTAGATGGAGAGGTCAATGCTACTACTACACATGTAGACGGATTATTAAATAAATTTTTTATCTAGCGACTGTAGCTATTTACTATTAGAAATATCGAAATTGATGGAAAACACTATTAAAGGTCTTCAAAGACTTTATGCTTATTTCGTCGTACTTATTATGCTATGTTAGGATATAGAGCTCTTATAAAAGCCGAAATATAATCCATACTAATATTTTAAATGTGAAAGTGTGTTTGTTTGTTTGTTTGTTTGTTTGTTTGTTTGTCTGTCCTTCTTTCACATCAAAGCGGAATGACCGTTTGGCATGGCATTTTGGTGTGGAGATAGAGAGAAGTTAGAAAGAGAGAAGTTGGAGGGACGTGTCACTCGCATAGGCTACTTTTTACCGCGGGACATTATCTAATTCCCACGGGAAAACACGTTATAATACAATCCAAAAAAATATTTATGATTAGAATTACTTGAAACTTGGTATTGATGATCTTCAATAAAATTAAATAAATACGTGTTTTAATATTTTTCGAAATTCATCATATAAGGGGTAAAATAGGAGATGAAAGTTTGTATGAAACTACCCTTTTAGAGATTTTTTGTAGTTTTAGCGCGAGCGAAGCCGCGGGTTCTGCTAGTAAATAAATCAATATGTTGGGACATTATCACAGAGCACCATCTAGTTCCATGGTAAGTTACGAGGATTGTGTTGTGGATACCAGATAGTTGATACACCACACACATATAACTTCAATACGTAAGTACTTTAAATATAAACACCCATGAGTGGAGTGGAGAGAAGCATCTGTGAGCCAAACGTGTCGCTAAAATAAATAAATATGAGAAAAACATACAATGTTAATTTCCAGTAGAGATGGCATCTACATGTGCCTAATGACATGGTGTTACTAGGTAGTACATATTTTACTAGTGATGCTTCACTTAGACCCTTTCCAAAGTACCTTTTTGATACAGATTATAACTTTTAAAACCCACTCATTATCCCTTGAGGTAATGACTGGGTTTCAGAGAGTTTATCCAGATAAAAAGCAGTAATATCCACTTTTGCTGACCTATGAATACTTAAAAAAATCTAATACAATATATTATATATATATATATATATATATATATATATATATATATATATATATATATCAACTATAACAGTGCATAGGATATATTTCTGCAGTGAATCTGGTATGTTCGCAGATTGCTTTTACGCAACAATGCATGAACCGTGCGCTATGCGAGCCGGCTTTATGGTATCCTGAAAATAATTACAAGTCGGATATATACCTATTATTTATATAAATGACTGCTGTAAAATCTCGCATAGATTAATTTAGCATATAAAGGTAGTGTTAGTTAATAAAATAATATACATATAATGTACTAATATAGGTGCTGGAAATGTTTTATTATCTATTAGAGCAGTTTGCCACTCAGTCGGTCTTCTGTTCGCGCTAATCTCGAAATGGCTGAACTGATTTTTACGGGACTTTCACTGACAGATAAGTGATGATATAGGAAGTAACTTAGGCTATTTCTTATTTAGAAAAAGAATCGGGGTTCCCCGCAAAAAATAATAAAACAATGAAATTGAAACCAAAATCCGGTAAACTAGGCACACGAGTGAAGCGAGGATAAGTTTCTAGTCGATGTATATATAATATATATATATATAATATATATATATATAATATATATATATATATATATATACTAATACTAGAAATTTTTTTCTTGGCAAAAGTTAGTTTTTTATATAGATACGTAAATTCTATTCATATATATACATAATATGTTTTCCTCTTCACGAAATACAATTACAAAGCGATTTTATTGCAATTGAAATTCATCATTTTTAATTAAAGTTATTAAAGACAAACTTGCATTTATGCTATAAAATAATGTATTCATTTACAGTTTAACACCATCTTATAAATAAAGCTACTGAAAATATGAGCCAGACGATAAGTCTAAGCTGAGAGGCGTGAAGCGATCCAATTTCCTATACTGCAGCGTGACTCGAAATATTCAATATCCAAGTACTGCGGTGATGTTTTAGAAAACATAGTATATTTCGGTTTTTGATTTAATAAAACATAATGCCGTCGAATGGAGAGATATTATTTCTTTATAGGTTATTAAATAATTTTATTGAATCGCCATATCTTATAATCCCTCGACGACACGGACACGCCGGCGTTACAGTTAACAATAGATTTCTTAGAAATTTAATTAATTTCTTAGAAATTTATCTGGAGGTGATTTGAACTTTAGATGTCCGTCTCTTAAGGATACGCGTAACAAGTCATTGTTTTAGCTCCCTATAACTAGAACTAAATATATGCAGAATACTGTCTTGTTACCTACGTTCTTATTATTTATATAACAAAAAGTTAACCTAGTAAATATAAATAAATTTAAAAAAAACTTGTAAGAGAAATTGTTAGTGTGTGAAAGCCTTAATGTTTTTTTTATATTTTCATGTTTGTACGAGTATATTTAAATGTTTTTTTTTCTTTTATAAATTTCTTGTCGTCTACTCTATG